TAAGCCTCGGCAGAGCTGTCAGGAACCTGTGGGCTAGACGTCCTGTCATGCTCTGTGATTCAGTAAATGCCAGGGTCTCTTCCGACAATGGACGGACGGAGGCCTACGCTTTTTTGTTGGCATTTACTTTACCTGAACTGATGGGAGAGTGTGAGTCAAGACGGGTCCCTGGTTTCAAAAGAAAGCAGATTCTTCTTCTCCTGGGGCAGATTCCTAAGAAGGCAGATTCTTCTTCTCCTGGGGCAGATTCCTAAGAAGGCAGATTCTTTCTCTCCTGGAGCAGATTCCTAAGAAGGCAGATTCTGAGGGAACAGCAGGATGAAAGCCGGCTCTAAGTGCCGCCTCCGTCCTCCCTGGGCCAGGGGGGTGAAAGGGGAGATGCCCATCCAGAGGGCCCCACTCCGCACCCTCCGGCAGGGTCAGTGCCTACTGGTGGTGGAGAAAAGCCAGGCCTGTCCCAGCAACACGCTGCCCCTTGAGGCAACAGGGTCTGTGTCCTGTCGGTGGCCTACAGTCTCCAGCTGCCTTAGGGAGGAGAGCCACGGAGCCCACACGTCGGGGGAGTGGCTGGTTATCAGAACAGCTGTGCATTTTGGGTTCTGGGGGCCCACAGTCCTTTTGAAATATATTATTGCCCAGCTGGTGTGACTCAGTGGTTGAGCATTGACCTATGAACCAGGAGGTCCCAGTTTGATTCCCGGTCAGGGCACATGCCCAGGTTGCAGGCTCAATCCCCATTGTGGGACGTGCAAGAGGCAGCCAATGGATGATTCTCTCTTGTTATTGATGTTTCTATCTCTCTCTCCCTCTCCCTTCCTCTCTGAAATCAATAAAAATTATATTAAAAAAATAAGTGAAGCTGGTCACACCCTTGCTTCTCCCATCGTAGCACGATGCGTCATAACCTGTGGCATCGGCCTGTTTTACATGCAAAGCCTACAGGCCCAGCAGATGGAGAAGACCTTTGGTGAGCTAAGGGGCGGGAACGGCTGCAGAGGAATGTGTGTGTGGATTGGAAAGCCCGGGATTGCTGGGACAGTTCTCTCCCGACAAGCGTAATTGGCCCTCGGGGCTGTGGGTGCCCACATCAGGGTGCCCACATGTCCTGGGTGCCTGCGACCGTCCCGGCTCATGCCTGTTGTCCCAGTTGCCGTCATGGTTTGCTTCCCACTCCCACAAGCACTCGGTTTAGATGGTGAATCCCATGGTCGCCCTCATTGTATGCGACCGGGTACCTGCCCACGTGCGGATGCCACGGGGATGACGCACTCAGGCAGAAACCTGCACCCGTGTTGCCGACGGCGCAGAAGCCGGCTGTGGGTCGGCACGGGTGCACGGTCACGAGTAAGGCATGTCACCATGTCACAGCACAGGCGGTGCACAGGCAGTGACATCATGGGATAAAATGCCATACAGACCACAGGCCGCGCAGCAGCTCCTGTCTCATACCAGCTGGCTTTCAGACCGAGGGAATTACTTCGTGTAGCTCAGCTACAAATGAGGAGTAATGATACGGCCGTCGCAGAGTGGGAGTAATTACTAAGGACCTGCGGAAGGCGCCTGGCCTGTTTCCTGACACATAATAGGCTGCCGCAGGTGGCATCATCATCATCATCATCGTTATTATTCCGTGACTTATTATTTGGGCTTTAATCTCCCCGCCTCTGAAGTGGTGAGAGGTGAGTTCTGTGCTGTCCTGTTCCCAGGTCTTCATGAGGCTGAAACCAGAGCCTGGTGTCCCTGCGAGTGTGTGCGACCGGGGAGTGTGTGTGATCTGGGAGTGTGACCTGGGAGTGTGTGCAACCTGGGAGTGTGTGCGACCTGTGTGTGCAACCTGGGAGTGTGTACAATCTGTGAGTGTGTGCGACCTGGGAGCATGTGCGACCTGTGAGAGTGTGCGACCTGTGAGTGTGTGTGACCTGTGTGTGCAACCTGGGAGTGTGTACAATCTGTGAGTGTGTGCGACCTGGGATCATGTGCGACCTGTGAGAGTGTGCAACCTGTGAATGTGTGTGACCTGTGTGTGCAACCTGGGAGTGTGTACAATCTGTGAGTGTGTGCGACCTGGGAGCATGTGCGACCTGTGAGAGTGTGCAACCTGTGAATGTGTGTGACCTGTGTGTGCAACCTGTGAGTGTGTGCGACCTGGGAGTGTGTGCAGTGTTTGAGGACTTTCGACATCATGGTCACCCGCCTGTCCCATAGGTCTGTTCCCCTCTGACATGGGGATGGATTCCCAAGGCACCAGCCCTTCTACTCACCCTGAGGACTGTCATCTCGACCTCCCTGTCCCCTCCCCAGCCTAGCCTCCTCCCACCACCGAGCCATGCTGTGTACACACCAGG